AAAAAAAAAAAAAAAAAAAAAAAAAAAAAAAAAAAAAGCTTAGAGAGAATCAGTCTTTTCAGTATCCCCACTAACATTCACCATACATCTATGTTTGTCATTTGCTTCCCTAATCTACTTATAATAGACACTAACACATAACATTATCGATATTGACATAGAAAAAACACTTACCAGAATAAATCAATGAGCAGACATGTTGCACGACAATATCTGCCTCGCCTTCATTGTATAATGAGCCTGTACCAGCTCGATCTAAGTGCTCTTCACAACCAACTGACAAACTGCCATATGGCATTCTAGTGTCAAGCAACAGCAAGGGACACTGGGTTATCCATGTTGGCTGCATCAATAAAGAAGCTTACCATTAGAAGCTTCTCACAGACCTATCCATCACTTTGAAGGCTTTGGACTCATTTTTAGAACTAAATTTATCAACGTTGAGTCAAAATAGACTCTGCAATGTAACCTCAATTTCATACAGGTTACTGTAAGGGAACTAGTATCAAAATGGTAAGTCAAAAGATCTTCATGTTCTTAGAAATATAACTTAATAAATAATAACCTCCCCGACATGAATGTCTAGATTGGAATGCCAAAGTACACTACCGACAGTAATTTTGGAGAATGGTACCTTGACAAACGGAGAGTTTACAAGAAGATGAGAAGAGACTGTTGGTGAGGACTTCAACATTCCACCATACATTTCCTTTGAAGCCCAACTAGCTATTGCGTCATTCATCCGGTATTGTATTGTTAACATTTTGGTTAAAGCCCCCTGATGCAAGGTTGAAGCCCGCTCCAGCAATGATACTCCAAGACCACCTTCCAGGGCTTTTCTAGACAAAATCACAGGAGCAAGTTGGCATTGATCACCTGCAAGAATACAACGGTGTCCCTGTAATATTGGAATCCAGCAAGCTGGCTCAATTGCCTGACCTGCCTCATCAATAACAACTAGATCAAATTTCTCCAGCGTCCGAATTAAAGGATCAGCCGCTCCAGTGTTGGTAGCAAGAACAACTTGGGCATTTGAAAGTACTTCCTTCACAGTTTCCTTCTCTTTCTTTTTTAATGTCTTCCCAAGCTGCTTCAGAAGCTGGCGTATGCCAGCAGCCAATGAATCGTCCTTTAAACAGTGTCTCAAGTCTTTCCTTAGGTCTGCCTTCTTCCTTTCAATATCTGTTCTAAAACTTGCAAGTTTAGTGTTGACAATTTCAGCCAAGGACTTGGATGCAACACTTGAAGATATCCGTGCCGGATTTCCTACTCTAACGATGTTTATCCCAATGTTTGAGAGTTTTTCAACCATGTTGTCAACAGCTGCATTAGTAGGTGCTGTTACAAGCACCCTTTCACCTTGTTGAACAGCAAGTGCTATAAGCTCCTTTAGCAGACCTGTCTTTCCAGTGCCAGGCGGCCCTTGGATTATCAATATCGGCCGCTTTTTATTCAAAGCAAACGAAATTGCACCTTTTTGTGAATCATCAAAGTCTCCATTGAGCACTATGTCATTCAGGTTGGTATGAGCTAGATCTATTAAGTTATTATCTTCCATCCACTTGATGTCTTCTTCATCGCCAAATAATGTAGCCACTACAGCAGAAGAAGGATTTTTCTTTCGCAAACCATTTTTCTGAAGCAACATTAAGGCTTCACAATTGCGCTGTAAATGAATCGATACTTGGTTCAGATATAGCAGTTTTCCTTGAATATAATCTCATGGAGAAAAATTGAAGATAACAATGCAGGACAAGTATATTTATTGAATCAAGCAACAAACATTCACCTAGTACCTCATAAGTGAGAGTGTCAGCTAACCCTGGAATACGATCAATACGCACGGACTTTCCAAAGAGCTTTGAAAAGGTAGGGTCACCATGACGAGATTCTAGAGCAACAGTGATGCTGCACCCATCGTCCCCCAGATTGTTCACAAACCCTTGCATGCAAGAAGTTGCACCAGCACCCCTGCTATCGCAAACCCTCACACAAACCATATCTCCCGGCGAAAGGGTTGTAGGTGGTAATCTATGGTTTCCTTCAACTCTGAATAATACTAAATGCATCCCCCCTAATCCTGAATACCAATAAAAGTTGATCATACGATTAAGGACTTCTCTCGAACTTTCGAGAATAAATATTGAAGTTGAGCTGAGTTCAGAATTTGAAGAAAAATAATTGATTGAATCGCTCTTATAAAATGAAATCATTAGATGGACCTGTAAACGTGCTAACTGCATTCAAATTGCATATAGTGTCACAGAGTTCTTGCTGTGCTTGGCCATGACTGACTAAGAACTCAATGGGTTTAGAATTATCCGAACCCTCATCTGGTGTAGGGACCGCATTCAACTCCTCTTGTGTAAACTCCAATTCGGAATCTCTCTCAATGCGAAGTAACTCAGACATGCGGTTTACAAACTCATCAATCCTGCTCTGTAAAGCCTTGGCCTTCTCCAGGTCCATCCCTAAAGCACCTTGGACAGCCTTCGGCTGGCTTATCTTACGTGCTATAGCTTTATGCTGAGCTGCAAATGCACCATGTCAGTTCCCAGTCAAGCAAGTTGTTCCTAATCGAACATATATATATATATATATATATATATATATCTTTTTATGCATCCATTAGAAACACAGGATTTGAAATTCGTAACTTATATTTCAAAATGATTTGATAACGAACAGTAAAATCTTGTTAAATGGTTACTTAGTGTTCCAATAGAATTCAATTTAATTCTTTACTTCAACAACAATTCTAGTCAAGGAAACACTTCAGAAATGAAAAAGAAGTCTACTAAAACAGATTAAAAAGCATCATTTTCTTGCAAGAAATGATATGTAACTTGGTACAGATATTACTTGGGAGTAAGAGAAGAAACCTGAATTAGCAAGCTCCTTGAGGAGCTTCCATGATTGAGTTTCGCGCCAATCTAGAATCAGCGATTTGCTTTGGAGATCTTGGAGGGCATCCCTGAGCTCCCTCTGGAAATGGTCAAAGAGAGTGGGATAGTGAGTAGAAGCTTTCAAACAGACGGCTTCAAGTCCAAGGGGCATAGGCACCGCATTCAGATACGGTTGGGCTTGAATCACAAAAGTAAGCCCCGGTCCCATCTGCTGCCGGAGCTCGGAGAAATCTCCGTTGACGTCCGCAGAAGCGAAATCAGAGGCCATTGCTTGCATGGCCTGCCCAATCCACTGAACTACACTCTTCCCCAGCTCCCTCCGCCCTAGAGGATCCCCGTTCTGATAGATACCATGCAAGTTAACCGCCCGATCACTCTTCTTCTTCCCTTCCTGTTCACCCAGAGGCGACCGCTTCGGTCGCGCCTTCGTCTCCGAACCGATTGAACCACTGGTACTGATGCTGATTCTAGCACCAGCAGATCGATTAGCAGTAGACGGAGAAGAAACCTCGAGAATATTGGGTTTCTTCACATTCTTCTTACTTTTGACAACACGAACCCTCTTCTGCGCTCCACTGGGATGATTAGCGTCATTAACAGTCTGAACAAACTGCTGGAAAGAAACAGTTACCGCTATGTGATTCTGGCGAAACAAGGGAATCGACGTTGGCGCATTCATCGCACAAACACTCAAAATCGAAGAGAAAAACACTCAAACAGAAGAAATCAATCGAAGTTGAAACAAGAAAACGTGAGGAAACCGTTGCATTACGTAGAAGCGGCGGAAAAATCTTCAAGACAAGACAATGGCGGACGGGAAATGTGTTCTGCAAATTTAAGCCGCGCAGTGAACTTGAGGTGAGGAAGAGAAGAACACATCGACGATTCTTTCGACGAGAGATTTTCTTCGTGAGCTCGAAAGCGCCAGCGAGGTCGCTTTCGTGGCACTTATTTTTTGCCTAGTTGGAATTAATTAAAAAAATCCTTCGAAATCCCTACGCCATTAAATTATTATTTTTTTATTCAAATCCAACATAAATAAATACTTTCTTTAATAATTATTAGCTTTTATTAATTAAATTATACTAAAATTAACCATAATTTGTATGCCCCTTTTAAATAAATTTAAATAAAGAATAATTAATTTTATGAAAATATTGATAAAACTTGTGAATAGTGTAAACTATTTACAAAAATATCCTAATCATAAAAAAATAAAATTAGAATATTAAATATTAACTTTTTAAAAATTATAATTATAATATAATCCACGTAGACATATCTCTCTGTCAACGTGGGTATTGGCCAGTTCGCAATCAACGTGTTCAATTGCTGTACGGTCTTTCCTAACCAGAGGGAGGTGGCCACGTCATTCATTTTTAATGCATTACGTGTAACAATTGAAAACGTGGTTAACTTGTTGAGGGTAAATGGTAAAAATGGATTTACTATTATTATATTGGCAGTAACTTTTAGTATTTACGGTTTTACCCTAAAATTCCCAGATCGCAAACCACGTCATCATCTCCACGTACACCTTCGTTCGATCTGGGAGCGGAATCAAGGCACCTGCTTGGTGGAGGTGAATAGAAAACGAAAATCGAGAGTCGAAAGCGCCGGAACTCCGAGGTAGAGAAATGGCGTCGGTGGTGCGGGGGATTGTGAAGTCGATCAAAGATAAAGGGATCGGCACTTTCTGGAGAGAGCTCAAGGAAGAAGGCTACTTGTATTATTTTCCTGCCCTATTTTTCTTTTTGATCCATGGTTTTTCTTTTTTTTTTTTTTTTTAATCGAATCTCTAGAGGAATCTTAGGGTTTGTTAATTTAGGATAATCGTCAAGTTTGAATACGAATTCGTGCCATTTGTTTCTCTTATGCTTAATCAATGTGATGTATTGGTGTTTCTCTTATTGTTCTGGAAAGGTTGTTTTAATGTTGAATCAGTATGGGTATTTCTTTCCTTACATTGGATGTTTCAGACGCCAATAGCAGCGTGAAAAATGCAAATTTTGTTGATTATATATTCTCTCTACGCTCTTAGAGGTAGCTACTTGGGATTGCTTTCGCAGAATTGTATTTTGTGTCGCCATAGAATGTGCTAGATGTTTTTTCCCCTCTCTATGGACTTGGTTTGCACTGTTGATCAACCATTCAATATCGTCTCTGTTTCTAAAGCAATATTAGAAATTGGATTGCGCTAACCATTTTTGTTTAATTGAATCTTGCAGGAAATGCTTACCCGATGGAAACCTATTGTAAGTTAAATTTTCCCTTCAATATTGAGCTTTCCTTTGAAATGATTTATGATTTACATCCTCTCTTCCCTCCACACACGCACGTACCCGTTTAGAAAAGTCGCTGTCGCCTTCTTTCACATACTCTCTGTGCTAGTTCGTGGATGACCTAGATTGTGCCGACCATGATCACTCACTATAAGCTTGTGTCAAAGAATATCATCCTCCTTAAGAAATCTCCAAATTCATTTTGCCAGATGAGTCATTTTTTAGGTTACTAATTCGAAGACCACCCTTTTCCAACCAGTAAAGCGATCTCTTTCCCATTTAGTTGGTGACTTCCTCCACTGGGATCAGCCCCCTCTTCAGAAAACTATGATTAATTTGGCACTACCTTTTAAGACCATAGTGGGGGGAGAAAAGAAAAAGAACAAAAATGAAAGTTCTTATACAAAGCTTCAGTGGGTCATTCGGGAGGTATTGTGATAACTGAAATCACAATGGTCTTCCATAATAATATATTATGCTAATATACTCAAGAAAGAGAATATGATGTACAGACTTGCTAAACGGTCACTGGTCAGTTCATTCCACTTATAATGTAGGTCTGAAAATGCTTACAGGTTATGTTTTTCAATCTAAATTGCTGTATATTAAACCAATTTGTATTTTGTGTTTCTCTTCTTGTGCGTGCCTTTTCTCTCTTGTCTAAGCTTTTTCTATTCCTTAAAATTTCCACAATATTAATATCTAATGTTTTTTTAGATGAATGTAAATACACATAAATGTTATATTTAAGTCTTGAGCTACTAAAAACTGTATTATCAATTAACTAAACCATGTACTGTAGTTTTTTCCTTGATTCAAATGATATGTGCAATTATTTTATGATTTTCATGATACTTTCTGGAATTATCCATCAACAATATAACTTGGCACTTTAATTGACGCCAGCCTTTATTTTTGGGGGTCTCAGTCATACACTGAATAATTTCCTTTCCTTGCAAACTATGCATTTTATTTGGTTTAGAGAGGCAATCTTAATCATCACTTATTCTGTTTATTTTGCGTATTCAGGCAAACCAAAATTCACAACATTGGTGCGACACTTGTGGGTGTTGATAAGTTTGGCAATAAATATTACCAGAAGCTCGATGAAGAGACTCAATATGGTATTTTTTTTCTGTCTAATTTGTTTTCATTGGAGTTTCACGATGCTACTACCTATACCTATTTTCTCTGGGTCAAGGTTAAGATACATAAACCATTGCTTAAGAAATTTACCATGTTAGGTTTATCTTTTGTCTGGTAGATTAAGTTGCAGGAATGTTTAAACGATAAATATTTTATATGCAGAGAAGGAATGTTTAATTGTTTAAAATTTTTACTCTTTTCTTTTAAAAACTTTGCCATCATATGTAACATTGTTAATTCAAACAGATTGATTATATATCTTGTTACAAACTCATGCAGTAGGTCTACATTCCCTTGCATTACATGTAACTAGTTTTTTCTGTTCAAAACTGCCCAAGTCCTGTGCTACGTAAAAGGGATTGTTGCTTCACGTTTTGGAGGAGATTTTGGTGAACTCTCGCTTTCATGATAGAAGAGTCTTGTGGCAAGCTTGTTCTTTTGCTATTCTGTGGGGGTGTGGCTCGAGACGAGTAGGTTTTAGAGATGGAGAGGGCTTTGGAAGAGGTGTGGAGGGCTGTGAGCCTTAATGCGTCATTATGGTCGTCTGTAAATCAGTCCTTTTGTAATTATCAGCTTGGGGAAGCATTTTGGATTGGAGTCCGTTCTAGTTGCTAGTTGAACTCCTTTTGCAGTACTTTTGTTTGTATGCCCTTGAAAATTCTTTCTCCTCTCAATAAATGCTTAGTTACTTTGGACCAAAAAAAAAAAAAAAAAAAAACCCAATTCCTGCTATTAATATCTAGCTGATAAGAATCCAAGAAAATCTTACTGGAACCCTCAAAAGTAAAATCAAGAAAGGAAGTTTGAAATATGTAGGATGAGGATGACGCATTTTATATATTGTCCATCAAATTCACACAGGCTTGTTTCATGTTTACGAAAGAATTTGTGAACATTATTAGAACTCTTAATACAATTTTTATCACTGGAAGTGTTTTTTAGCCTTCTCTAGCCTTCTCTTTTTTATTTTGGGGAAATCTGAGCTAGCGAATTTGCCATTTCTGTAGGAAGACACAGGTGGGTTGAATATGCAGAGAAGGGTCGATATAATGCTTCTCAGGTGCCACCCGAATGGCATGGCTGGCTCCACTACATAACTGATCACACAGGAGACGAGGTAATTCCCCTAGCCATAATAATAACAATGATAAGGCTAAATGTATAAAACAATCCCTAGCCTTTTAGTAATTTCAACTTTGTCTTTGATCTTTTAAAAAATTTAAATTCTGCTCGCAATGTATTAACGAATCTCATTTGTTAACACATGGACATACTGCTTGGACGCTACTTCGGCACATAAAATTCAAATCTGTCAATCAACAAATTCCCTTCTTTCAAGTTGCATGCCCATGTCCAAGTAAAACAGTAATTTAATGATACATGAGTTTACCTTTAACAAATTTATATATAGCAAAGCCTAATCTTTCAAGAAGAAATTCAGAGTTATATAAATGATTATAGACCATATGGTTGCTTTAGCCTAATAATAAAATAAAGGGAGTTCTTTTTTCTTTTCACCTTGCGATGTTGTCGTTGATATGAAAAATATTTTGCAGCTTCTGATGCTGAAACCCAGCAGGTATGGAATAGAACATAAGGAAAACTTCTCTGGGGAAGGTGAAGAACTTATTTACCATTCCAAAGGACATGCTCTTAATCCTGGACAGAGAGATTGGACCCGATACCAGTCATGGCAACCAACCAAGTCCTAAGTAATGTCTATCAATCCCTTTCTTCAATCTGGAAATCCTTGGGATATTTGGTTTTGTTTCTTCTGAATAAGCGACTTGTTATCTTATGCAAGCTGTGAAACATTCATCTTGTTTTGCTGCACAACACATGCGATGAATTTTTCAGCATGTTTCTGTTGAAATTTTTAACAAATTCATTGTTGTGCCATCTCCTTCCAAACTCTGTTCTTATCTGCATTTGGCTATAATGAAGATCATAGTCAAATTATGATTGATAGGCTTTAGATCCACAGTATTTTCATGTAGGCTTTAGATCCACAGTATTTTCATGTAGGCTTTAGATAGCCGGACCAATACCCATTCATCAATTGGATATCCATCTTTTTATTGCGTTGGAGTGGAAGATTTTTTTAGAAGAGCCTATAAGAATGATTTTTTTTTTTTTGAGTGGTGAACAAAACTTTTAGTTTACTAATCATATTTTGAAGTGGTTCCTTGGTATTTTTAGAACCCATGAATTCATATTTTGAAGTGACAATAGTAAAAGGTTTCCAAGCTTCGAAGTATTCTGTAATTGAACATCCTTGAATTTTCAAGGACATTAAAGATCCCTTTGAAAAGATGGAAAAAATAATACATTGCCTCTGCTCAAACTTGGCAGTTACATTATAGCAGCAATTATGCCATATACACAAAAAATTATATCGATTGTGTATGAGGATAGTTCTTTTTATGTGGTTACATTGAATTTTATTGTCGGAATTCTATCTGAATACCGTAAATCTACAGCCTCTCTGACGTAGTGTGTGCAGTTAAATGGCAAAGCAAATTCACTCAAATGCCAGCCTTTGTGTGCCAACTAATGAAGCATACTGACCTTTCTGAGCCAATAGTTCCAAATGAGTACCCAGCTCTACAATTTTTCCATCGGAACAAAATGCAATTTGATGAGCATTTTGAACTGTACTCAACCGATGTGCAATCACCAATGTCGTCCTTCCCTTCATCAACAGGTTTAGAGCATCCTGGACGAGTCGCTCGCTAACTGCATCCAGTGCGCTGGTTGCCTACACGAAGAAGACGAGTATCATAATTTGTGATTAAGAGAACGCTGCTAAATCCCCAAGTCAAGTAGCTATATACATACAAGAAATTTACCTCATCAAGTATAAGGATTGGAGCATTCTTAAGCAAAGCTCTTGCAATGGCTATTCTCTGCAAATGATAATTTAAAGGTCAGTTTCAATCTCCTCTTAGATCAACACACTTCTCGAGATGGTGTCGTAACAATACCTGTCGCTGGCCACCACTTAGAAGGCCTCCGCGTTCACCGACTGGTGTGTCATAGCCCTTTCAAGAATAAGACAATACATGTTAATAACAACAAAGGAACCAGCAAAACAAAACATGAATGTACTAGAAGATAGCAAACCTGAGGAAGTGCAACAATGAAGTCATGAGCGTTTGCAGCTCTGGCTGCCTTTATCACCTCATCCTTTGTTACATTATCATCTGGAAGTCCATATGCAATATTTTCTCCAACAGACACCGAAAACAGAACAGGTTCCTGAACATCATCTAATTAATTCTTTTTACAGGAAAAAGTTATATATTTTAGCCCATACTAAGTTAAGTATGTCAATGTTGATATTACACATTTAAGTGCATTAAACTCTAAGCTTGAACGGTGATCACATCAGAGCATTCTCAAAATAAAATTAGAGATTTGCCATGAATCAACCAATAACAGCAAACTCCTCACTAAAACACCTAAAATCAGTCTATTCCTCTCTAGCCATGTCTCGCAAAAGATTGGCGAATATGTATTGGTCTTCAAGACCTTACGTTTGACATTGAAAGGGTAAAACACAAAGCATTTTGATTAAAAAAGACCCTTCATATTCCTGGGGAGTGGTATCCATAAACTAAAACTTCTTTCAAAATAACTACAGAAAAAGGCACTGAATAAATGAACGGCCTGTGCCTTCCACTTCAACACGAACACCATCAGCCCCTAGATGAGAAAATGTGGATTCCGGCTATGAGTTTGTCTCCGCACAAACATCTATGGTCTACCTAAAATAAGGGCCATCCAAAAACTTTTACTTTCTCAAGAGAGGACTTAGTTTGAGATCTGAGGGTCATTTCCTCTCCTTGGCGGTTAAATCATGGAATGGACCATGAGGCAAGGGTCCTAGATCGTCTTGAACAAGCAAAACCAAGTATATGCACCTACGCATCTAAGCAGCCAATCCTCAATCTCTCTATCTATGAACTCTTTTATCATAAAGGCAAGGGTGGCACTAAGCCAATCTAGTTACAAAAAGAGAACTCAAAAGCTAAACAATACCCTCACACAATGCTAAATTGGATCCATTTATGACCATAATTCAACATTCTCATATTGCCAACCAACGCAATTTTCTACATCTCAGTCACTATAAGCAAAACAGAAAACCAAACAACATAACACGTGGTAAACATAGGATGTTAATATGTTGAATGGAAAAAATTTGCTGATTGCCACAAGTACATAAAATACAGTATGATCAGTGAATAAAGCAAGATTTTGTAGGGTAACGGAAATCTGATGGGGATTAAAATAATAGTCTCAAAACATGGGTAAGGAAGCCTCTACATTTCAAGCAAGAAAGCCGAACTGGAAAGCCAAAACATTTGGGGGCGAAGTCTCTAATAAATTTAAAGCATCATCAGTCTCATGGCTATTCATTCAAGTTAAGTAATATGGTAATGTCAAATGTGAGTTTGAGTAGGTAAAGATATTACTTGATTCACTATTGAAACAGCCCGAGCCCATTCCCTCTTATCAAATGCTCGAATATCTTCACCAGAAACTTTTATTTGCCCTTGCTTTGGCTGTAAAATATGCACATTATTAACCAATCTATATCATAGAGAAGTTTGTTGATATAACAAGAAAGTTTACCTCATAAAAACGTGCCAACAGCTGTACTATTGTACTCTTTCCTGCTCCACTAGGACCCACTAGTGCCGTCACGGTTCCACATTTAAGTGTTAAATTCAAATCACTAAGAATGTCAACGTCAGGTCTCAAAGGATAAGAAAAGCCCACATCTGCATGACAAGATATGGGCACACATTGACACATTAATCATTTCCCAAAATAACTGACATAGAGAAAGCAAGTTTCCCATTTCAATGTGATCACAACCAAGACCAGTTCATCATATATTTCCCTAAATTGAAGAAGACATAAAATGGGGCTAAGAAAACAAATAGTTTTATTTATTCCAGTATCTACGACCGTATGGACCAGCTGATCTCAAGTACCCTCAGGACACCCTCCCAACTTTACAGTACTAAATTACCAAAGAAATTTATCTTTCTAAAATGAAGAGTTAACATAACAATAACATTGAAGAAAATTCACCTACTGAGACGAGCTATAGTATCAACACGACTTTAAAAAGTCTAATTACTGATTCAAAACATCACAGCAGAGATATATAATGCACTTCATGAATATTAGAAAAAACAAAAATGTAAATAGACAATCACTGTTTCTACCATTATTTATATTGCGAGTACAAAAGCATGAGAAAGATTTTGAAACTTTTAACAGAGAAAATAGGGAACCGCAAGATATTTACCTTCAAGACAAATATCACCAGACCAAGCAAGATTGATAACGTTGCTAGAAGATTTTAGGTCTGCCATGTACTGTGTTTTCACCTGACTGTTTTCATCAGTAACGCCAGAGAACAACAACTTATATTTAAATTCTTTTTGTTGCATCTCTTTTTCTAATCCATATGCAAGGGCTTCATCAACCTCTTCATGTAAAACAGTATTAATTCTTTCAACAGCAGCAAAAGTTCGACGGAGATCTCCAAATGTATTTACCAATCCTTGAACCTGAAAGTCATTATATGCATCAGTACTGAGGAATAAGATATTGAGAAGGGGTAACCAAAGAGAAACAGTTACAGGACTCACAGCAAATGTTAACGTGAAAGTATATCCAATAAAAGAAGCCATGGTTCCTACAGAAAGTTCACCCTGGAAAGACATGATAAGAACAATTAGAGATTAGATAAAACAAGGTCTTGACTATGGTCTGGATATGATGAACAAAAATATACATATTTTGGAGAAGGAAACAAAATTTTTATTGATAGAAAGTTACAAATGAATAAAGTTCAAAAATCAAAATTAAGAAAATGACCAACTAATCCAAAGTAAAACACAGAGAACACACCCCATTAAAAAAAACTCAATTACCTATCTTATACTAAGAAAATAATTTTAAAACCCATATAAATTTAAGCGAATTGCATAAACCACTACTGAACTATTACAATTATTACAATTGCACCCATAAGCTTTAATTGTAAAAGCAAAACTCTCACCCTTGTAAAACTTGGGACCTTCCATTACCCTCCATTAAAAATTTCGTTAAATGATAGAGAAATCTTTTTATCTATTTCTCTAAAACAAATCTTTTTATCTCTCTATCACACTTCTCTCTATAAAGGAATGAGTGGTTTTCTTCAATCACATTCTTATCTTTGAAAAAAAAAAAAAACTATCTTCCTCTCTCTATCACACTTCTCTCCAAGAAAAATCCAATATTTCACTCTACCCATACATTAAAACACATTAAAAAAAAGTATGCAAAATTTGGAAATTACCGCTTTCACTTTGTCTCCTCCAAGCCAATATAATGACATAAGCGAAATATAAACAGCAACTCTAGTTAAGGATTCATTCAGAGATTTAAAAGTCCCAAGTGATATGCCACTACCCTCATATGCAATAACCTGCCAAAATCCAAAAATGAATAAACAAATTCAGTAGACTAACATGGCTCTAAAACTTATCTGAAGGAACCTTTACAGTTCCCAATAATATTTTACCTGGCGACCAAAATTGAACATTTGACGCTTTTCACCACCAAAGGATCTCACCTGTAATAACATCTTCGTATCTCAGCAAGACCAGTAGAAAAAATTCTAATAGGTCAGGGAAATCAAATTTAGTGATAATACAGGTGGCAGAGTATCTTAAACTCACAGTGCGAATAGCAGAGAATGTCTCTGTTGCACAATCAGCCATGGAGGCTTGAGCTAATCCATGAGCTTTAAAGACAGGGATAGTAGAACGCTTGTATACAGCTAGAGATAAATGAAAATCAGCATTGCAATAATAGAGAAACACAAGGCATTCAAATTGGCGTAGCCTATAGCTTTCTATTATAATTATATCTTGCTCGTCCTTTACATTTTCTGGAGAAAATGACTTGTATTTATGACAGGTTCTAATTGGATGCAAGAAATAAAGAAAGACCGTGATAGCAGACAAAAAGAAAAACACAATTTCTCAGACAATTTATAATATCTTAACATTCTCTGAAAGCATCACATAGAAGCAGCCAAGCAGGTACACACATGCGCATACACAACCATATCCATAAACAAACAAAGGGCAATGAATGGCCATTGTTAAGAGTATTGGACATGAATACACAATCAAACTAGAGCGCTAGGCTTCACAGGCTACTATATTCATCAAGTATAAAAATGTGTTCAAAGAAAGAAGAAATGAAGGAAAGAAGTTTTAGTCTATATGCTGTAAAGAAAAATAGCAAGGAGCCTCAGAAAGAAGCTAATTAACTGATAAACTTACCCACTGAAAACGATACACTCAACATCAGAAGACCAAGAATAGGTGCAAGCTGGGGGGACAATGCAAATAATATACATATTGTTCCAATCACCTGTACAAAATAACACACAGGAGAACAAGATTCCACTATCAATAATGCAAATCAAAACAAACAAAAAAAATATATATCAAAATATGCAACTTTGGTAAAGTTTCACCTAATTGGAAATTTATTCGACCACATTCTATATTCAGCAACTAGAACCTTAGTCATATTTTTCAACAACGTGGTTATTTCAGGTAATGGAGAAAGTAAATAAAAGATTGGACACGAAATCCAACCATATCAAGAGCCAGATAGAAAAAAAAAAATCAGATTGCAACAATATTTCAATCAGCAATAGCGAAGCAAATCTATATGCCAAATGCAGACAACACAAAGCTCACTTGTACTTGGTGAAGAGTTGCTTGCCTCAGAGAACGCTCTGAATCCACGGTCCCTTGAAACATTCTCACTCACCACATCTTTAAGAGAGCCCAAATCAGAAGTTAACAATCCGGTAATTTCACCAACCTTAAAGGAAAAATCCAAGTGAATCCAATTGAAATATCAAACTTGACTGAGAAACTAACATTTCCAATAGAGAAAACGAAATGAGAATATATAAAATAGAATGAAGAAGAAAAGGAGGGCAAGGAGAAATCAAAAGTAACAGCAACCAATTTGGAATAAGAAGAAAAAAATGTCTGTAATAGATTATGAATAAGTGGTTCATTATACACACACACCTTGTATCTGTCAAAAAATTCCACCTGAGAAGTAAAAGGAAAAACAAATCAGGATGCCAACATTTTACATGAAAATCAAACTTAAAGAGACAGCTTCTCTCATCCGGTCACTCATATTGACAAATTAAATTTACAACACTACTCCAACACTGAAATCCACGATCGAAATAAGATATTACCTTCTGAATCAGCAACCTTCCAAAAATCTGGGCTCTTAATCTTGACATAACCTTCTCCCACATGAAATTCATGTTTGTGACGAACAAGACCGTCAATATTGGCTCCATTGCATATAAAATTCCAACTGTACTCAGCAGCCTCCACAAAGACCCAGGTTTTGCACCTATAAGTACCTCAAAAAATCTACCTACACAAGCAAGCCATGAAACAAACATTCAGGATTAAAATAAAACCATCTTGTTGAATCATTCGTACCATAGAGAACGTTTTGTGAATTTTATCCTTCTTTTCTTGTTTAGGAGTTCAATTTGAACGGCTGTAATGAATTCATTTTCAAGGGCATTTATTTGGCATAATTCAATTAAACCTTATACGATTCAACACTTACAAATAGCAGCAATCAATTAACTCCAGAGTTAAAATTGATTCAAAACCAAACGGTCCCATAATCAAAGAAGAAAAGCAGCATAAAATCCAATTCCTACCTGAGAAAAACGGCATGGAAAGAGTGCAAGTGGTGCAGCAAACAAGAGTAAGCGAAGAAACCAGAAGCCGTAGCTTGTGCTTCATCAAAAGCCTCCACAAGAGCCCCCAATACAAGACCCCAGGAACTCGATCCTGGGAAACGGAGGCGTCATCGAGTTTCGGGTCGGACTCGCTGACATTAGGGTCCGAAGCAGGCCCGACATAAGCGAAAAAAGTAGAACTGCCTCTGCTACTCTTGGAAGCAGGCTTAAACCCGCAGCGAACCGCCGCAACTGTGGGAAATGGCGCGACAGAGGTGGCACGGCGGAGCGGCGAGAGAGAGGAATTGGGGAAGCGAGAGGGCCTGAGAGTGAAGGGGAGAGAGAGAAGGGTGGTGGAAGACATGGAAGAAGATGACGGTTGCTGAAAGAGAGGCGCCTGTGGAGAAGCATGGCGCTGCCCAATGCCCCATGTTTATCATTTCAGATTCCTTGCCTTATCCAATGATCGTAAATATAATTTAATGAATTAGAGTAAGCCATCTCCTTGCCTCTCCCAACCGTCGGATCGAGACATTTTTTAGATCAACTTATAACAATTTATAAACTAATCTAATACAATCCGACCATAAATTTTTAAAATTCCGTTTAGTTCGATTTACTCGAGTAATTTATTAATAAAATATTTATTAATTTATTTTTTAAATATTTAATTAAGATTCGTAACTTAATTTTAATATATATTTTAAAAAATTATTATATAATGGTATAAAATTAATAATAAATTCATGAATCGGTAAAGTTCTCATTTATTTGAACCTATCCAAACTACATAGTGCTGCCCGATGCTCTTGTTTATGATTTTAGATTCTTTATTTTACCAAATATAATATATTTTAACGAACAAGTCATTTCCTTGCCTCTTTTGATTCTTTTCCCTTTACACATCTACTATTTGTCGGATTCGTGAGTTGGATTAGGTCGGGTTAAGACATTTTTTAAAGTCAACTCAATTAATTCAAAACGCCATAAAAACGTTGTTTTGTTTGAATGTTTGACATATTGACTAATGGAGTATGATTTATGCTAGTTGAGTTATGTTCATATTGATCATCTCTATCGTACTTTAAAGTAGAATTACTAACTTGTGAATGTAATCATTGAGTCATATGACTAACAAACGTGATAGTATATGACAAGGGTTCGTAGCCATTTGCGAGCCACATGTTGCAGAAGGTTGGTGCGGTCAATCGGGTTGGTTGACAGCTACAAGAGCTTGGTAAGGTTGCTTCCATCACTTGAGTATGTGTCCTTGGGGCGCTTCAACTGTTGCAGCTCCAAATGGGTGCCCTCCGATCCTCTGATATGGATTTCAACGACCAATGGCCTTGTATTCTACACGCCAACAATGAGATTCAAACTGTCCCCATTCAGTGATTCTCATGCCACCACAATGGCATGACATCTAAAGAGTGATTGAAACCTATCCCTGACCAGCTCGTGAGTAGCATTTCAGGTCGACACAACGTAGCGTCAAAAGCATGTATTTTATATTGCTTCGATGACCTTTTCTAGGCCTCCTTCCTGCAGAGCTGGATTGTCGATATCAATCGAATTTGTACTAATTGAAGAAGACGAAAGCTTTTTTTTCTACCCAATTGAATTTAGGTTAGATTGGTTTTGATTGTTTTGATCCTTTATTTCCACCCGAGTAGGAGCTCGCATGGATTTTTCTTATTTTTTTCAAAAGATCATAGGTGTAGTTGCTTTTGGTTTCCCAAACGATCATACTAATGAAGAAACCGTCCTTTACTCATATACTCACGATCATCTCCTTAACTGGCCAATATACGACTCTACTCAACCGTCGGTAAGGTAATAGCTTACAAAAGTGATGATTAGAAGCTAATTCGAGAGGGTGATCGCCCATATTGAAACTGAGACATGACCCAAATTCCCGTTGGAGGCAACGTCATAGAATTTTCTACAATGAACGGAAATTGATGGAGCAGTGTCGAGTGGACATAAGACCTAATTATTTAGTTTTTCAAATTAATTTATAAATTTAAGGCTAATTTCCTCATAAAATAAAAGATAGATCTGTATAAAGATGCAAAGTTGAGTTATGATTCGAAGGACAGTCAAAGAATTACTTGGTTTTCTTTTTCTTTTTCTTTTTCTTTTTCTTTTTCTTTTAATATTTACGTAATTATTTTTCTTTTTAACTTTTTTTTTTTAAATATTATTAAATATATTTTGCTGCAGCTTTTCCCTTTTTCATCTGTTTCTTCACAGCAATCATTTTTCACTCTTTTTTCAAACCCACTTTTTCAGATCTTGACTTTTTATTATCACTCACCCATTTCAATAATTTTAATAAAACAATTTTGTCGGGGAAAATACTTTCAAATTTTATATTATTACGTCATATATCTCTTTTTATTACATCATATATACCACATTTTTAATTTGAAATTTGAATTCAGTACTTATTCTCTTGTGATATGACCACGTTACCAATTTCATATTGTAATAACCATGCCCGAGATTTGGATCAGAATTTGGCACTTGATGCCCTGACATTCTCCTGCGATATGGTCACGTTAGTCGATATTGTTCTCTTTGAGTTTTCCCTCAAGGCTTTAAAACGCGTCTACTAGAGGAAGGTTTCCACACGAGAGTGTTTTATTCTCCTCCCCAACCAATGTAGAACATCACAATCCACCTCCCTTCGGGGCCCAACGTCCTCGCTAGTACTCTTTCCTTCCTCCAATGGACGTGGGACTGCCCTCAAATCGACCCCCCTTGAGGCCTAGCGTCCTTATTGGCACACCGCCTCGTGTCTACCCCCCTTCGGGGAACAGCGAGAAGGCTAGCACATCTTTCGGTGTCTGGCTTTGATATCATTTGTAACGGCCCAGATCCACCGCTAGCAGATATTGTCCTCTTTGGGCTTCCCCTTAAGGCTTTAAAACGCATCTGCTAGGAGAAAGTTTCCACACTCCCTATAAAGGGTGTTTTGTTCTCTTCCACAACCAACGTAGGACATCACATTCAGGATCGCTCTCATTCTGATATGGTCTTAGTTCATTCACGTTCCTCTTCTTTACTCGAGTATCACACATATTTTCATAATTATTCGCATTCGTATATGATCTTAGTTCATTTATATAGCCTTCGTTTACTTGACTCGAGCGAGCATTACGTATTTTAGGGCAAAAGTAAAGATTTGTCTTGAAATATTTATTTAAAGACCAATTTCATGCATTGGGTCAAGCTACATCTTTAAAATTACTTAACAACAAAGAATCCATCTCAAGGCTTCTGCGGCGGAAGCAAGGAGCGGCAGGCCCGAGTCATAGCTTCTTTCATATGGTGGAGGCCATGACTGTTCGGGAAGATATCGATATGCTCGCATCTTAGCTTATACCCATGTCGTCTCGACGTGTGCAGCGACAAGTTGACGGGAGGCGCATGGCTTAGCGAGGACGGTGGTAGATGAGGAACGAACATGGATCTAGCTCGAAGAACGAACTTCCAGATGAGTGTGAGAAATCGTTTAGGATGGTAATTAAGGTATTATTCATTAAATTATGTTTAAATTGGCGTATGAATAACACAAATATAATTAGGTTAAAAAGTATAGTTTTGATATCTAAGATCGAGTATTTGACGTTTTAAGCATAATTCTGTTAGTTCAAACGTATAGTCGAGATTCCTTCCACTCTCATATATTTTTCACTGTCGAGAATATACGTTTAAACCAACTCGAAGACATTGTCCTCTACAATAAGTATATATAGCAACGTCGAGACATTGCCCCCTATCATAAGGAAAGTATCACAAATGGCAGAAACACTTCCAACAACAAAACAAGGGTGCACATGTGTTGATCCTCGAGCATATCAAAACAATGTGAGTATTGACCATAATCTCAAAGATCGATCCACAATATCAAGCAAGGAATCGGGTTCATTAGCTTGAAGGCTGGCATGCACAACGTTGAAGATCTGAAAGTGGCATCTCGACTCTTAGTCCTCAGCAATTTTATTTTGATCTTCATCCCCTCCCGACAAAATAATAATAATAATAATATATATATATATTATTATTATTGTTAAATATTCGTTTTAAACTATAAATTTACTAAATTGCCCTAAAATATTAGAAAACATAAAACCATGAAGAAGTGACAAAAATGATTATAAAGTTTAGGTCCTTGTAGGGTTACCAGCTCAAATGAGAAATAAAGAATCTTCATTTATACCAAAGTTTGGGATGCAGCTGGAGATGGGGTATGACGAATATTATTTTATTTATCATTTAAACTATTAATTTCTCATAAAATAAATATCTTCGATATTTTACTAAATTTTAATTAATAATATGATTTTTCCGACCCAATTATAACAGCCCAAGTCGTTTAAACACCCTTCTAAAAAATGTTTCGCTTTTCTCTTTCAACCAACGTGGGATCTCTCAATCCATTTCTCGAGGGACCCACTGTTCTCGTTGGCACACCACCTAGTGTATGGTTTTGATACCATTTGTAACAGTTAAACCCCACCACTAGTAGATATTGTACGCTTTGGCTCGTTACATATGGTTGTCAATCTCACTGATTTAAAACGCGTATGCTAGGTAGAGGGTTCCACACCCTTATAAGGAATGATTCGTTCCCATCTCTAACCACTCCATCAAAATTTATTATTTTAGTCCAAATTAGAAAGAAAAAAATCTAAACCGCTGAAAAATTTCAAGATCTCTAGCACAAACCCTAAACCCTAAACACTAAACACAATCTCGGTCTTCCACATGGGTCAATTTTCTCTATAAATACTCGAACCCAACATTTCACCTCAACTGATTTCTAAACCACATGATCAGAGCTTCTATACCCAGATTACCATTCATCCCACGAGACACTCTAATTTCCCTATTTCCACTAGAGACCGTGCAAGAAAAATATTCGAATTCCCTTAACGAGATAGACAATATGGTACTCGAGTCTCGTATAATGTAGCGTTTTTTAATAGTTTATGTAATTTTATTGGGGGGAGGGGGGAAAAAACTTAAGGGTTAAGTAGATAAGAAGCAATGGAAGAAGCACTTTTGAGGGCAGCTAAGAATGATGCCGGCCAATATGAAAGCCCTTTTTTTGCAGTCCACTATTGATTGCTGATGTCTTTTCCTCAAAAGCCGTATGTCATGGCAAGTGACCCATAAATCCTCTCCTTTCTCAACAACCATTCAAACCCTAATTTAAGTCCCAATACTCACTTAGTTAACGTCGATTCATTCCCGAACTATAAAATATAGCTGAAATGACAATGACCTAATGAAAATCTCGAGCCATAAAACAAAGCTGAAATGAAAATATTTCATCGTTTTATTATGTCTCTCAGTATAATTTTGTATGATAATTATTTACGAGTCTAAGAATTCTCGGTTTAAAATTATTTTTCGAAAACGAATTAATTCATTCATCTCGAACTAACCCACAAATCAACAAATTAATAATAGAATTAAATTGATTATTTTCTTAAAATTTAGTAACATAAATCTATTTTTAATGCACAAAAACTAAAATAAACTAAACTATTTCAATTTTTTAAATAAAGTTAATTCCCTTGAAATTTTATTTTACTACTTTTTTAATATTCATGCATAATATATATCATACATATATATATATATATAAACTATATAATTAAAATTTTATTTTTTCGAATTATTAAAATTATCTCAAAATATTAATAATTTTCCTTTATTTAAAAATGGTTGAATAATAAAGAGAAAAAAAAACTTGATGGTTTAGTCAAACTTTTGTGCAATTTATTTAATTTTAAATAGAATGATAATTAAAAAAACATTAAAAGGTCAAACTTTATTAAAAAAAAATTAAATTAAAGGGGTCAGCCGACCTTTTCAATGAACCAATTTATTCAAAATTAATTTTGAAAATAATATAAAATACCAAATTTGTATATAAAATAATATTAAAAAGACAATTTTGCCCCTGATGCATGACCAAAAATAAATATTGACCAAGACTATGGAATAAATTTATCACATGCTTGACACTATTTAATTCAATAAGAATTTTTCTTTTTAAAAAAGTGGAAATATTAGATTTTTTAGGGATTAGATTAAATTATATTTGATAATTTATTAATTATTTTTAATTTTGTTTCTTAAATATTAATTTTCTTGACAAATCTTTATTATTGTTATTTTTTTTACTTTTGAAATTAAAATATTAATTTCATTAAAAATATATATTTTTTAATTTAATTTGTTTTAAAATGTCTAAATTACCCCTAAAATTATTAAATTAATACCCAATTGTTTCCCTTATGAAAAAGACCTAAAAATATTTTTCACACCAATTATAATAAATAATTAAATTTAAAAACTTTAACAGCCAAACCCAATTATAAGACAACAAAAAAACCCCCTCCGTGAAGAAGACAACAAAAAACCCCAAAAACGGAGATGCAACCGCCGTGCCTGATGGAGATCGCGGCAGCATGCGGCGGCGGAAGTGGCGGAGGAAGCAGCTGTTGCCCAACACCATTACTCAACTTCCCTTCCTCCACCTCGACAACCTCGACCACCCCTCGAACTTCCGCCGCATCCCGACGCGACTTCACGGCCAAAGCCACCGCCGGAGTGTTCCCCAACACCAATTTCACAAACCCGGAATCTCTCCCGGCGCCGCCGCAAGCTCTGGCTCTGTTCCTCGCCGCCTTCCCACAGTATAACCAAACCCAGAAAATCGACCAAATCAGAAACAAACAATATTACCATCTCAACTTCACAAACCATACGTGTCTCGATTACATCGGAATCGGTCTCTTTTCGTATCATCAATTCCAAAAACATCACAACCCATTTCCTTCTTCCAATTTGAATTTCCCGTTCTTCGGCGTTTCTTACAGAACCGGCAATTTTAAATCTCGCCTCCTTGAAAATGGCCTCGATTCTGACCTAGAATCCGCCATTAAAAGACGAATATTCCGATTCCTCAACGTTTCAGATTCCGATTATTCCATGGTTTTCACCGCGAATCGAACCTCCGCCTTCAAACTCTTAGCAGAATCATACCCATTTCATACCAGCAGCAAGCTTTTGACTGTTTATGACTACGAAAGTGAAGCAGTGGAAGCCATGGTCAACACTTCCCAAAACAGAGGAGCTTTGACTATGTCAGCTGAATTTTCATGGCCGAGATTGAGGATAAACTCACGGAAATTGAAGGAAATGATCGTGAGTAAGAACAAGAAGAAGAAAACTAAAAAGGGTCTTTTTGTTTTTCCATTACATTCCAGGATTACGGGAGCTAGATATCCTTATTTATGGATGAGTATAGCGCAGGAAAATCGGTGGCATGTTCTTGTCGATGCTTGTGCTTTGGGTCCTAAAGATATGGATTGTTTTGGATTATCTTTGTTTCGACCTGATTTTCTTGTCTGTTCTTTCTACAAAGTCTTCGGCGAAAACCCATCTGGATTTGGGTGTCTTCTTGTGAAAAAATCTGTCATTTCAATTCTCGACACCAATTCTTGTTCCTCAAATGTTGGAATTGTGAATCTTGTTCCTGCTGACAAGCTGTTTCAGCTAGCTGAGGACTCATCCGGGACTGACACTGAGCTGGAAATTCATCATCAGCAGTTCATGTCTCAAATGGTTCCATCAACAAGCTCATTTTCAGGTCCAATTTCATATGAATCAATGAAAACAGCACAAACACCAACAACCCAGTTTCCAGAAACAGAGGAGGACCCAAATTTGGGGTCAAATGTTTCAGAAATCGAAACAAAATGCAAAGGGTTGGATCAAATGGACTCATTGGGGCTGATATTGATATCAACAAGAGCACGATGCCTAATCAATTGGCTGGTGAGTTCATTGCTGAAGCTCAAACATCCAAACACAGAAGGGGTGTCTCTGGTGAAGATCTACGGCCCAAAGGTGAAATTCGACAGAGGACCAGCTCTGGCATTCAATGTTTTTGATTGGAAAGGGGAGAAAGTTGAGCCTGTTCTTGTGCAGAAGCTAGCAGATCGAAGCAACATTTCATTAAGCTATGGATTTTTGCAGAACATTTGGTTTCCTGAGAAGTATGCAGAGGAGAAAGGGAGGGTTCTTGAGCGAAAGGAGGTTGGGAAAGATGAGAAGATGAAGAAGGTGAAAGCTAACTTGGGGATCAGTGTGGTGACTGCTGCTCTTGGATTTTTGACCAATTTTGATGATGTTTATAAGCTTTGGTGCTTTGTTGCTCAGTTTTTGGATGCTGATTTTGTCGAGAAGGAGCGATGGAGATACACTGCGCTTAATCAGAGGACTGTTCTTGAAGTTCTTTAGTTCATCAAGACCTGTTCTTTTCTTGAGCTTAATATCACTTATCCGGTCCGAGATAGACAACCCAATGTCTCGATCCATCTTTATGACATCTTTATGTCTCGATCATATACCAGTAATTCTTAAAAATGTTGTTAATTTGAGTATAGCTCACTACCGAATACATTTCTACTTTTTTTTTCTTAGAAGAGTGTAGATTCAATCTCATTTGGATCCACATGCAACCATTATTTTGAGGTAATTACTGTTGGATGATGAAAGTCGCACACGCCTAATTTAGGGATGTAGGGAATGGTCATAAGTTTATAATCAAGGAATACTCTCTCTATTGGAATGAGACGGAAGCCCAAAACAAAGGCATGAGAGCTTATTTTCAAAGTGAACAATATCATACAATTGTGGAGAGTCGATTCCTAACCATTACATTAGTGTGAGAAATTTATTACCAATTTTCTGCCGTTTTTGTTATTGTTGCTGGATTGATCATCGAGCTTGCTTCTATTGGATTTGGGTTGGTCAAGGTATTGCTGCTGAGTCAAGAAAATCCAAGGAAGCTTTAACAATTTATGGACCGGTCGTAGCTTTTTTTCTTTTATTTTGAGTTAATTAGGATTTACTTTATTTTAATTAATTTTATGAAATGGGCCGGACTTATTTGACTTTAGTGGGCCTATTGGGCTTTAGAAGAGGGCTTGAGTTCTTTCATTAGCCCAAGTTCATACTTTATATTTAAAAAAAAAATCAAAATAATTAGATGAAATCGTCTCCAGTACATTATAGATTATATACAAAGTTATTTCAAAAAGTTCAAGAGGATTTTTGAAACAAGTTACTAGTCGTAAATATACTTTTAAATTTTTTTTAAAAAAATTTAAGAATATTAATAAAAATTTTAAAAACTTAATAGTATTTTAAAGATAATAATTTTATTTATTTATTTTTAATAGGTGCAAGAGTATTTTTGATAAAAGTATTATTAAAGCTATTAATTTTTTTTTTTTACATAAAATAAAAAATTATTAAATGGTATTTTTATTAATTTAAAACGTCGCTTTCAAAGTCAATTCCTCCGATGAAAAGAGTGGTTTATAAGGGTTACACGTGACGGTCACACCCCATTGGTAGAAGTAATGTCGTGGGGACCACGTTGACCATGTGCTGTCGAATTCTGGTTGGTCCTTCACACACGAAATTGTACGGTAATATCTCTTGAATTTATGAAGCCAGTTATGCAGCACAATAATTAAATATATATATTTATTATAAAAAATATATTTCAGTGTCAAATTAAATAATGTGGGCCTTAATTTTACCAAAATGAGAGGAACACCGAGGTTGTATGCACGCAAAATCATATATTATTTTAATTTTATCCTTAAAGTTCAATAAATAAATAAAATTCCTCCAAAATAAATACTACAATAAAATTTTAATTTCAAAATCTTTATATATATATAAATATGTATCTTTGTAAAAATAATTTCGAGAAATATTTCAATATCCTATTTTTTTTTTCTCATTTTAAAATTATATTTATCTTTTTCATACAATAATTGAGAGTTGACAAAATAATAAATGTTTTTCTTAATTTATGGAAAATAAAAGAAGCTTAAAAAATCTCAATGAAGATTGAATTACATTATTGGTACTATATTGGTCGCGTCATTAAATTATTTTATTTTCTTCTCATTTTTTAGAATTATTATTTTTGTACTTATAAGACAACATAATTTATTGTTTTTGGTATTTAGACCGTGAATAAATGTTATGTGTCACGACCTTACAAGGTGCATTATTTGTGGCTGCGTGTCGGATGTCCCAGATGTGTTGTCAATGACTAAAATGTCTCCAAATATAATAGAAAGAGATATGACTAGTCATCAATTATTCTTACCCGTTTTCTACACTTGTAACCTATAATATTGTTTTTTTTTTCTTTTTACAAATTGATTTCGAAATGCTTTCTAAAAATATTCGAGGCTTGAGCGTAAATCTTCTGTGCTAATGAGACCAAAATTCTACTTGGTTAACTTACTCGAGGGATAATAAATGTCACAATAGAATGTCTGTAAGAGCTAAAGCCTTCTATTAGCAGATATTGTATGTTTTGACTCGTTACGTATTACTGTGAACTTCACAGTTTTAAAGTGTGTCTTTATAATAAATGTTCTATTCTACTCTCGAACTGGTGTAGAATCTCTCTATTTTTCTCATTCATCTCGAAGTCATTTTTTCTTTTAGGGTTTATTTCCTCCTTGTATATATATATATATTGCAACAAGGCCCCTTATCTTCCCATTATTCCCTCAAAAACCCCCCAAAACAAGAGCCCAAATTTATATCTGCAGCTGTTCTCATAATTTTCTACGATCATTCCTTTCTCGGCATCAACGAAAAAGAAGGCTCAAATCCCGTTTTGAGCTCAATCTTTCCAGTTTTTGTTCCAATAATCTTGGAACTAATACCAGCTGAGCTTCTGAATCTAAAACCAACAATGGTGAGAGGGAAGGTCGAAATGAAACGAATAGAAAACGCGACAAATCGTCAAGTGACATTCTCAAAGAGACGAAATGGGCTGCTGAAGAAGGCGTACGAGCTCTCTGTTCTGTGCGATGCTGAAGTTTCTGTCATGATTTTCTCTCAGAAAGGAAGGCTTTATGAGTTCTCAAGCACCGAGTAAGTCATTTTTTCTTGTTCTTCTGCTTCAGAAATCGCCTAAATTCATTTTGTTTAGCTGTTTTGATTTGAATCTGTAGAACTAAAAGGACGACGATGGGGGAAATTAGGGTTTGTTTATGAGTCTAATCTTAGTCATATCTATCTACTTCACTGTGATTATTTATTCAAAATTGTACCTCTTAGATTTCATCTAGGGTTTTGTAAGATCTTCCTTCTCGGAAATTGTAGCTCTTAAAAAATTGTTCAAAATTTTCTTCTGGGTTTGGTTTAATCAAGTAAATAGAAAAATTTAGATATTGATTCTTAAGTTCTTTAGAAAGTTTTTCTTGATTGAATTAATAGGTAGGTTACTACATGCATCTAAACAACATTTGCAACGATAAAACTCACGGAGAGCAATAATTTTCTAAAAGACATGCTTAAGTGTGATAGAAACGGTTCGTAAGACATACGAACAGTAAAACTACTTAATTTGATGATGAATCTAAAAATAAACTCTTGATATTCTATTTACGTAATCCTTTATCCAACCCACGCCTTTAGAGGAGGATTACCCAAATGGTTAGTATACAAAAGGGGCCTCGTATCTTAGTTTGCCTAGTTCGAAACACAACAATCCGAGCCCTTGCTAGAAACAATTCGTCGAGGTTCAAACTTTGCAAATTAAGACTTTTGAACATGTGGGTATTTGAAACTTGTTATACCAAATAAATTTGATGAAGTGTATGGGATCTAAATTTCGAGATCAACTTGGATGCAAGTTATTGTAGTTTATAGTAGTCATAGTTACCGTTGAACAAAACTCGTCGTGAAACACAAGACCCAAAAGCCCACACAATGTTAAAAAAAAACATTTGGATAAGCTTGAGACCAAATTCTTCTCGTTAACACTTCTAAATTAAACAAATTAAACTTGAAGATTAACTCCAAGCAATTATATATTTATAAATATCGAATGTTACATAGAATTGAAAATTTATAAACTATGATATAATTTGAAAAAGAAAATCTACGATACAACAAAGATAAATATTAAGGATACAGTATAGTCCCATTCTTACATGTTGTTGTAGTGTGTATGTCTTAAAAATGTTAAAAAAAAAACTGTCATAATGCCTAGGCCCTACCTCGTCAGCTGAACACTTAGATATGTCTTGTCACAGTTGTATCCTTAACTTCTCAAAACCTTTGACTATTTGAATAGACTAGTTTAAGTCATTTTCCTTAATAATATGAATTAAATATACATTTAACTATCTTCAATTTGATAATATAAATTAGATATTAAGTATATAAAAAACTTCAATTTGTTTTTTCATCTTTTTAAATTTTAAATTTTATCTATAATGTATTATAAACTATTTAATATATTTAACCTAAATTAATTTTATATATTGAAAAAATTATAACTAGGGTTTATATTCATTTATTCATTACATAAATTCTCTTTTTCAAATTAAGCAACATGAACATGTTATAGATTTTCACAAGTATTTGATCATGTGTGTTTTGTTATACGTTTTTTTTTTTGTTGGATGACTCAGTATACATAAGTCCATCCAGCGTTATCGATGGTATGGAAAAGATGGACAGACCAACGCTCTTCGCTCCGAAGTATACATGCAGGTTTCTTTTTCCTTCTTTCTATTCACAAATCGGATTATATAAATATACATTTGAACAACACGTGATTCAACTAAAATTTGTATTTTAGGTTCATAATCTATTTATATGAGCGTTAACTTAAAAGTTTCCCTCTCTTTCAAATAAGATTAGGAAAAAAGTCATGTTAGGGCTTCTCTCGGGACTTGTTAGGTCATAGGCATGCGGAATGCACATCCATGTATATTTCTGTCGACTTGTCTCAGCTGTGCTCGACCTAGGCCGAGGCGGTCTTAAGGTTTTTCGATCTACTAACTTTTATTCGGGTTCAATCTTGCCCTAGGTTCTAGGTTCAATATGAACATTGTTTTGGGCAACTTTTCGTTAAGCCATGTCTCCTCGAATGCTCTCAAGAATGAAGATAATACAAAGGTTTTGTCGACCCTCTTAAAACTCCGATATAACGGTAGTTTTGGGCAATTTTTCATCGATGATTATAAATTCAATCCATAAACTTTTAGGGTTTTGTCTAATAAACACCGGACTTTAAAACTTATTAATCCAAAGGGTTATGTAACTAAGTCATTATGAATGGAATACTTAAATTGTATGCAGCAAATGAAGCAGGAAGCTGACATGACGGCAAAGAAAATGGAGCAACTTGAAACTTCACAAAAGTAAGCAATTTCAATCTTAATAACACTGCTTTTTAATAACATTCTAGGTTATGTTTTTGAATTTGTTCGTCTTAGGAAGCTGTTGGGACGTGGGTTGGGTTCATGTTCGTTGGAGGAAATCCGAGAGATTGAAACCCAGTTGATACTTAGCTTGACTCGTATTCGAGAAAGAAAGGTATGTTTCTATTCTAGAACACCAAGGCCCTTTTATCACATTGAATATCTCCTTTAGGGTTAGTAACGCTTCGCATATCATATTATGAAAAGATTCGTAGATTATGATATAAACCAAGCCATCTCAATCCTACAGTATGAAATTTGAAGAAGTTGGGAAGAATATTGTTAGTTGTAATTAAAGTAACATTAAGAAGAATCAAACTTCATTTATGTAATAAGAATTTTAACTGGGACTTCATTTATTCTTAGATGGTTACAAACGGTCGATGGATAATTAAAATTTAGATTTATGGTGTTTAGTTAATGTATTTTAAGTTTTAAGACTTTTTATTTACTTTTAGGTTGCATTTACGTAGTAGGTAATTATGATTAAGAAGAATCAAGGTTTTGGTTTCATTTTGCGGCGGTATGAAATCCTTGACTTCCATGAGTCATCTCAAGAGTTGTGGAGTGATTCAAATCTTAGTTTCCCTTAGAGTCAGTTCTTGAATATTTTAGATCTAAAAGTTTTATTTTGCAATAAAATTGTTAGATCGAATTCTTAAGATAAAATCATTTTGATTCGGGAATTTTAGTATTGTTAATCTAGAGATTTGCATATTTATAAAGGTTTTTAGATCCAATTGGTATGAATTTTCATATCAGATTGGGTCGTTGAGATTACGGGAGACTAAAAATATGTTAAAAAATTTCGTTTGGTTACAGTCTCAGCTATTCAAGGAGCAGAGAATGAAGCTGATTGAAAAGGTAATGAAATTTCATTGAAATATTTTCAGTTCATTCCTTTTCAATTTATTCTTTCTAGATTCAAATATGAGATATAAATAAATCGAAACGTCTAAACTTGTTCAGTTTTAAATGTTTTGGAGTTTAATTGATAGAATTATAAGCGTTCTACGAACGTAAACGGATTCGATATTTGTATATATGAAATTTAGCTAGTTGTTTATGTTGAATCAGGGGAAACTGCTTATAGAGGAAAATATAAAGTTAGCTGCAAAGGTAAGACCCCATTTTTCCATTGTTGTTCTAGGGTTTAATGTTGTGAAGCTTGAAAATCCTTGTCGTTGTGGTTGGTCGTGTTGGACTGATATGTTTGTTCAAACATTTAGTGTGGTACTCAGCCATGGGAGGCAGAAGGTGGTGGTGAAAATGAGGGAGGAGGGATTATGAGTTTATTATGCACCCAAAATGCCCAACCTTCTCATATCAACACTAAATTGTTCATTGGATTGCCTTGCTCATGATCCTGTTCTAAACTTTTTACTACCATTTTAAGCCTTGCACGTATAGAAATTCATTGATATAAGGAATGAAATGTAACCTTTATTTCATTCCTTTAAGAGTTTACCACCAAATAAGCGCCCACGTGTAACCTTAAAATTGGTTGATTGGCTGTTTTCCATGTCAAAATATTTAGCTTTCCATTACGATCTACCGTATGTATCATATTTAACCTTTAATTATAGGCTGATACCGCCTTTTAGTTGTATCTAATGAGATCGGTTGTTTAAAAATTTAGAAAGAAGAACAAATTGTAATAATTAAATTTTTGAAAATAAATAGAAATCTAAATTTTTTTAAAAAAAATAAAAAGGGTTATAAGATTTGAATGATGAAGTGGTAAGGGAGTGGGGTCTGAGCAGCGATGAAATCTCATGAATGTTTGCAGCAGTTCTTTTTCACTGTTCACTCTGTATTTTCATTTCAACGCCTTTAATGAACTTCTTACTTTCTTACACCTTTTAGGAGACAATCTATTAATTTCTTCTTTTTTTTTTCTTTTTGTTTTTTTGGAGTAAATTTTGTTTTTTACCACTCCTTTTTTACCTTCCTAAAAAGTAAAAATAAGATGGTAACTAATTGTTATTGGAAATTTGTCTCCCTCCTATTTTATTCTCAATCCTCACTAAATTACGAGAATATTTGTCTTTTTTTTTTTTTGAATTTTTATTTTTCAATATAATTTATATTTAAAAATTGTAATTAATAATATTTTACGAGAAAAAGAATATAATATAAAGTTCTAACATAATTTCTAAAAATTTAATGTTAGAGTGAAATGAGAATGGAAGGATGAAAATGTTTTAATTTCAATAGAATTTATATTAAAATTATTATGAGTAAGAATATAATATAAGATGAACATAATTTCTAAAAATTTAAAATTTAATATTCGCACATTTATATATAAAATTTTCTGGATTTAAACGAGAATTCTCCATTCCATTAATCAACATTTTTCAAAAAAGAAAAAAAAAATCACGTGGATGAGGCTGACTCACGTGAGGACAAATCCATGGGGTGCAAAACGACAGCGTTTATGTAGGGACATAATGGTGGCAGTAGTTTCTCGCAAGAGGGAGTCCAAAATATGAAACTCAAAGGTCCTCACAACCCCTTCCAATTCCAACACCTTCTTCCATTTCCCCAAATCTTTGTCGATTAAGGAATCGATGTCTTTCAGGACATGACATTTCGCACGTGCCAATTCCCACCCCTTCATCATCATCATCCTTGTTCTACAATTCATCACCATTTCCCCCAACACTTCATCATCATCATCCTTGTTCCACCGCTCGAGCCTTGGCTCTCCCACGGCGGCGTTACTGGTTTCTAGGTGGTGGAAGATTGATGGGTTCAATGGGTTGGTGGGGGAGAACCAATTTGGAGAAGTTAATATTCTTTTTATGTATTTCAACTCGCCTGCTCCGCCGTCCGCGGTGGCTCTCCTGCCCACCTCTTCCGCTGCCGGCCTCTGCTTGCCGTTCGGGAACCGGCATCGCTGTTTGGGGAATGACTTAGCCCGTACAATTATGAAATTTCAAACATATTTTTCATACGCTTCAAAATAATGCTTTTAAAATTTTAAAATTTTAAAATTTTAAAATTGTCGTATTTTTTTTTATAAATTTCCAAAAAAAAAAAATAATAATAAAATAAAACAATGTTTCAATTTTGCAGCTATTTTTTAAAAATATTTTATAATTAAAAATTTCAAGATTTATTTTTCTTAGCTTTTAAATTAAATTTGTATTATATTATTTTTATATATTTTAAGAGTTACAAAAATAAAGAGAAAAAAGCTGATATATTATAAAATTGATAATATATATATATATATATATATATATATATATATATATTATAGCACCTGTTCATGACGGACTTTGGCCGCCGGAGGAGGAGACTCTTCTTCTTTTTCTTCTCGAGTCGTTGCCCTTGGCTTCCGTTTTGGTGTCGGTGTCGGTGTCTGTGTCGATATCGAGTTATGCTTCCTAAACATCGTCACGTCTTGATTTTTTAGTTTACCATACACCAATTTGTTGTTATTATTGGTAATGTCAACAAGTGCAACTTTCCTTCTCACTTGTTCTTCTTCTTGTTTCATCTCTTTGCAAATTTGGCTATTCTCTATGTCCAAGTTAATATCGAGCGAGTGTCGATGGTGATGACGGTCGACATCCGATAGCCTCAACGAGGATACTCTCGGGCTGTTCGGGAGAGACCGTGTAGCGGAAGGGGAGGTGGTGGTTTGAGGAAGAATATCAAGACCCATTAGTCTAGCCAAGAGATTTGGAGTCTTGACACTTGGAGAATCCAATGCATTGTGATCAAAATTTGTGTTGATTTCAAGTCCCATCTGCATTTCAAAACATAGGATTAGAAAATTACATTGTTCTTTGAAAATTAATGCAACAAAAAGTAAAATTTACTTGAATTTGCTCATTTTGTTCTTGACCCAATTGCTCCAAGCTGTTCCTTGGTGCTACAACACCTGAAGAACAAACATGGTCTAAAGAGGATGGTTGGTGCTTATTGGGGGCTAAGTGAGTGGAAGGAAAGGAATGGGAATCAAAGAAATGAAGGAGGGTGTTCATACAGCTCGGTAGAGAGGGGTGGTGTCGGTGTCGGTGTCGGTCGATGGGGGCTCGGCGGGGGGATGAGGTTCCTCCAAAGAGCCATTGTCTTGCCATTGTTTGAAGAGAGAAATGGGGATTGGTTTGTTTATAAATGATGGGAGAGGGAGGGAAGTAGAGGCACTTAAACAGCCTCTTCCTAAGCTTGTATGGTTCTGTGTCTCTGGTAAAGGCTGTTTAAGTGCACAAATTTAGAGCCAAGCTCTGAGTGTCCCATGGGTGTTTGTTTGTGGGGAATTGAAATGTTTGAAAATGGGTCATCAATTTGGTATCTATTTTGAATTTGCCATGCTGAGTGCCTATTGGGTATTAAATACGAGGTATGGTCTGGTGGGGATTTGTGAGATTCAAAACTTCTGCTCACCTCAGAGCGTGGCCTCCTAGTGGTATGGTCTCGGCGTGCTGAGTGTCACAACCTTACTATGAAGAGAGTAGGTTGTGACCCTCACGCCATGACAAGCAAAGGGGCGTCCCTCAAGAGACGCCCATCCGGCCATATGCGAGCCAATGTAGAAGAATGTCATGATGCGATCGAGGAGGACGATGCATCATCCAACACACCACCACGCAAAGTGGGCATTGAAGACATGTTGAGACACAAGCATAACAGAGACATCAGCATTGACATGAAGGACAAGATAGGCTTGTTGAAGGGCCGGGTAGGGTCCCGGGCCTTAACCTCAAAAGTCGAGGTTTCGGAAGGAATTTGGGCATGCGGTTCGGGAGTTAAGTCCGTCCATATGAAATATGAATGCTCGCCAAGTTTGGTGTCAATCGGACATGGGACGGACAATGCACGACACCGTATGACACCTCACGAAAATCATGTCTACCCCTCGTAGAATGAAAATGGCTCAAAATGTACTATAGGGGTACCATGGTGTTAGCTCTCCACCACCCTTGGGCCCTGTGGCCTAAGTGAGCTACCCTGTGGCACATACATGTGTCACAGTGTGGGCGAGCGTGCCGAGACGAGTGTCTCGGGGCGACTTCCTTTGAAATGGATTTTTGAAGGACAGTACCGGACGGCACGGGTGTGCCGGTATTGCGCCCTAGCCCGCGTGTTGGAGGTTGCTACATACACCCGCTATCTGGTACGGTATCCGCAAATGACTCGGCATGGGCACGGGAGGGCCTATGCCTCGATAGAACCTGGATGGATGGATGTTCGGGAAGTCCCGATGAGACGAACGACACGCGGACCCATTCTCGATGGCATGACCGAACGAGTTATGATGAGCGACGACATCCCGAGACTCGGGATGGCGTCAAGACATATGGACCCTGTCGATGGGGATCAAGATGGCAAGATGAGATGCGACGTTGTATTGAGAGACCTTGGCCCGAGCAGAGGCAAGGTCGAGCCGAATGAGTTGGCCTAGCGTAGAGGCAAGTCGGATGTGTCGTAGATGATTGAACATACACGCACAGGCGGCGTGTGTGGTTGAACAAGCTTGGATTCCGCACAAGCGATGTTCGATTGGCGAAGGCAAACCTCGCCTAAGGTCCGACGAAGCCACAAAGCCGGGGCGAAAAATATAATGGGGCTTAATTCCCCTTAAGGCTGGTCGTGAGCGTGTATAGATCACGACGCCGCACGGTCAAGAATGTAGGACCGTGACACTGAGCCCCGTAGGGGTGTGGACACCAAGTGGTGTGCCAACGAAAACACTGACCCCTCAAAAGGGGTGGACAATGGGTGGTGTGCCAGCAAGGACGCTAAGTCCTGTAAGAGTGTGGACCACCAAGTGGTGTGCCAACGAAGACACTGAGCCCCCAAGAGGGGTGGGCATTGGGCGGTGTGCCAGCAAGGATGCTAAGCCCTAAAAGGGTGTGGACACTGGACGGTGTGCCAATGAGGACGTTGAGCCCTAGGGGTGGACACCGAGTGGTGTGTTAGTGAGAATACTGGACCCCAAATTAGGGTGGATAGTGAGATCCCACGTCGATTGGAGAGAGAAACAAGTGCAAGCGAGAATGCTGAGTCTTGAACGGGGATGAATGGATTGTGAATTTCCACGTCGATTGGAGAGGAAAACGAAACATTTTTTGTAAAGGTATGAAAACCTCTTCATAGCATATGCATTTTAAAAATCTCGAGGGGAAGTTCGAAAAGGAAGGTCCAAAGAGGACAATATTTGCTGGCGGTGGGTTCGGATCAAGCTGCCCTTGAATTTTATTTATTTATTTTACTTTTTCAACAATCATCCTCCAATATTAAAAAAAAAATAATAATAAATAAATATTATCTCTCTATTTTTATGATGTATAAATATAATTCAATAAAAAAAATGCTATTAACTATATAATTATTTTCTCTTAAAATCAAAATTAATTTACAAAATAACATATAAAATTAATATAAATTGAAAAAATAAACATAAAATATTAGATAATCTAATACACTGAAATTATATTAAATTGATAAATTTAAATTATGAAACACGAACATATAAAATTAATATAAACGGAATGTCTAAACATAAAAGATTAAATAGATTAAGACAAACACGATTATCTAAAGATTATCGAACATGATTACAATTTTCTAGCAAAACAAACATAGCTATTTAAAGATGTCCGATATTCAAAAAGAATTTAAAAATGGGGTCGAGAAAGAGAAAAAGGTGGACGAAAATGCGAAGCGAAACCGACGAATTAGTAGTACAAATGGTATTGAAGATGTGTCCTTCTGCCATGGCAGCATGAGTGCAACTCCTTGGACGTCACGAAACAAGGGTTGCGTATGGTACTCTTCTGCAGAATCACAATGAAGATGAACCCAGGTTTGGCTTAAACTTTAATGACAAGAGAAGGCCATGAGCACTTGGCTACTCTTTATTCAACTCTACTGCTCTAATAACTTTGGTCATTAAACACTGCCCGTGTTCCTCGCTCGCACCTCCCCGTGCTGCTACCTGCATCATTTCACGGTCGTACTCTCTCATGTGTACCTGTACTTTCCTTTTTTGGTGGTTTTAGCTGACTTACTTGTCTCTACTGTGGGTTAAGTTCTAAGACTTCGTATAGCTTGTACAATAGGTTTAAAAGGGATAGGTTCATATTTTAAAATCTATTAAAGAATGCTCAAAAGGGGTATGTTTTGTGAGATTCCATATCAATTGGAGAGAAGAACAAAACATTTGTTATAAAGTCGTGGAAACCTCTCCTTAGCAGATGCGTTTTAAAATCATGAGGCTGTCGACAATCCGTAACAGGTCAAAGCGGACAATATCTACTAGCGGTGATCTTGAGCTATTATAAATAGAATTAGAGCCAGACACCAGACGGTGTAACAACAAGATCACTATCCCCTAGGAGGTGGATTGTGAAATCCCACATCAGTTGGAGAGGAGAACGAAACATTTCTTATAAGGGTGTGAAAACTTCTCCCTAACAGATACATTCTAAAACCATGAGGTTGACGGTGATACGTAACGGGTCAAAGCGGACAATGTCTACTAGTGGTGGTCTCGGATTGTTACAAATGGTATTAGAGTTAGACACATGACAGTGTGCCAGCGAATACACTGGACCCCAAGGAGGGTGAATTGTGAGATTCCATATCGGTTGGAGAGAAAAACTAAATATTTCTTATAAGGATGTAAAAACCTTTCCCTAGCATGTGCATTTTAAAACCATGAGACTGACGACAATACGTAATGCGTCAAAGCGAATAATATCTACTGGCGGTGGTATCAGGCTGTCACAAATGGTATAAGAGCCAAACACCGGGTTGGTGTGCCAACGAATACGTTGGTCCTCCAAAGGGGGATTGTGAGATCCCACGTCAATCGGAGAGGAGAACAAAACATTCCTTATAAGTGTGTGGAAACTTCTTCCTAGCATACGCGTTTTAAAACTATGAAATTGATGACAATACGTAATAGACAATATCTACTAGCAGTAGCCTCGGGATGTTACATGTTCATAGTTTAAAATCTCGGGATGTTACATTTATAACGCTTACAGCTCAAACAGTTAACAAAGAAGGATATAGCATTTATTAGAAGACATGGTGCTGTTGCAAACAATTTAAAATGAGGTCAAAGCTACTTCAACCAACCAAGAAGGAAACTCAAATTACACTGGCCTAATTGAAACAAAGCAAACACACCAAGAAAAGGGTTGTTATCATACAGTGGTGGCTTTGGATAACAAGTTTTCGACAGCTTCTTTCGTTGGTAGAGCGGGGATGGCTCCTCTCTCCGTCACGGTGAGGGCACCGCAGGCATTTGCAAAGCGTAGAGCGTCTCGGAGCCGTTGCTCGTCCTGCCAGAGGTAACTCTTTTATGTGAATATGATGAACCAGTATGTAGGAGTAAAAGACATCATCATTTTGATGCATTAGGCGAGAACAAATGGAACCTGAAAGATGCTCAAATCAGAAGCTAAGCCGAACAATATCCCGCTCACAAATGCATCGCCTGCACCGGTTGTGTCGACCGAGTTGGATTTGATACCAGCAACCCTGCCTCGAAATTTCTGTATAGGACATTGTCATATGAGAAAGAATGACTACATAGGAAGTTCCGAGTTCGAACTTAAACGATCTATGGTCAAAGTACGAGACCACAGGAAAGGGAAAGATCTAACGAATTCGTAAAACGCTTACTTGAGTATAATATCTGCAGCCGTGCGGCCCTTCGGTCACAATTAAAAGCTTGAAATTCGGACGAAAAAGCTTTTTCAACACTACGTTATCATCATACGGATCGTCTCCACCAGTTAAGAAAGTAATTTCATCCTCACTTATCTGCATAAATTTTACGAGATAATGAAAAGAATGCTATACAATTTTCACACTAGTCCAAGCCCATCGTTAAGCAGATATTGTCCACTTTGGCCCGTTACGTATCGCCATCAGCTTCACGGTTTTAAAACGCATATGCTAGGGAGAGGTTTCCACACCCTTATAAAGGGTACTTTGTTCCCCTCTCTAACCAATATGGGATCGATATTGTCAGCTTTGGCCCAATACGTATTGCCATTAGCCTCATGGTTTTAAAACGCATATGTTAGGAAGAGGTTTCCACACCCTTGTAAAGGGTACTTTG